AAAAAAAAAAAAAACACAAAAATCCAAAATTATATCATATAAATAATTAATATAGAACAAATAACACATAAAAATTCAGAAAAACGTTAAATTTGATTGCATTATATGTTAATTTTTTTTAAAAATGACACTAAGTAACCTTAAAATTAATAAAATCGGACCAGAGAGCGATCTTTTGTTGCAATCGATCATAAACTGTCGTTTCCCGAAAAAAAAAATACCTCCAGTTAGTTATAGATGTGTTCAACTTTTGCAATTATTATTCATGCGTGGCCAATAAACATTGAATCTTCTTAGATCTATTAAAATTTATAAAAAGAAAAAGAAAAATGCTATAAGTACATAATAAATGTACATAGAGGTGTACATAACACTCACATGGAGTGGGGTCCACTTAATTTTGTATTTTTGGTAGGACCCACTTAATGTGAGTGTTATGTACACCTCTATGTACATTGTTATGTACCTATAGCATTCCTCTGAAAACAAAATGTAAAGAAGTATTTATTAAGAAGCGGTCAATAGCCGAAAGATTCAACTTCAATCCTCAACTTAAAACAATTTTTTGTAAAAAAAAAAAAAGAAAGAAAAAACAAAGTAAATTTTCTTTAGAAAAATTTCAGATATTGATAGATATGTATTGTAATCGCCTGATTTGCACTGGTTTACTATAATTTAGTAAAACGGATTTTGAAAATCGAGACGATTTTGTTGTTAAATCTCCTTTGGGTTTGAAATATTCGGATTTAGTTCTTTTTTTTGGGAGGGGGGAGGGGATATTGAACTGGAAATCTCAATGGTCAAATATTTATTTGGTATGTTTATTGGCGAGAATTTTGCAAGAACTCTGAAGGTTTGAGTTTTTTACTGAGAGAGAACGAAGAGATGCACAACAAAGGAGAATGAGTGGAATGACACAGAATTTTCGGTGTTCCTTTTTTCGGTCACGGGTTTTGTAAACCCTTAAAGTGGAGATGGGCTTTCATCAATAATGGGATTTTTTTTATTGTTACAAAAATATTGATTTGTCTATTGGCTCAATAGCGATTACATGGTCCTTTTTTTAAGAAAAAAAAATATATGTATTGGGTTCAATTTAAAAATTATTTTTTCGGGACTTCACCAAATCAAGCTCATTAAACAAATAGCCTTATTGAGAATATTGGCCAACGTCACCTTTACATTTTTTTTTATATAAAATTAAGTCTAATTCACCACATTTTTTTAATATGTTATCCAGCCCAATTTAACAGCTCTTTATAAAACAATTATTTGTTCAGTAGGTAATTTTGACTCAAATGCTTATATTTGATGACAATTATAACAAATTCGACACACATTTTATTATTACATATTTGTTTGAGGGTATCATTTAAATTTCAACAAAAAATATTTTCTATCATGGTCTCCTATATGCTATGGCGATCAACAAGAGTCAAGATCAGTCTCTCTCACACGTCGGCTTAGTGTTGACGAACCATGTTTTCAGTCATGGACAATTGTACATTTCTCTTTCTAGAGTCACGAATCGGAAGAGTTTGGAGATAGTGATAACGTGGTGGTGGTGATTCCGATATGAAACCATGAATATGCGTG